CCCCCCCCCCCTCCCGTCCCCTTTATTTACCGCCATCACCAGCACGCGCGAGCTGTCACCCAGCGCGAGACGCCCGCGCCGGCCACGCCCCCTCTCCCCGCCCATTGGCCGCCGCGCCCCGCCCCGCCTCGCCATTGGCCGGGGAGCGCGTCACTCAGCGCCGGCTCCCGCCCCCCGCTGCCCGCCGCTTACGCCAATTGCGCAGCGCAGCGCCCGTTGCTCCTTACGGGGGCCCCGCGCGCCCTTTGCGTAGGGCACGCGCGCCCTTTGCGTAGCGGGCTCGCCGCCGGCGGGACGTACGCAGTCTGCGCGGCCGCCAGGGGGCGCTGCTCAATGGGCGCCGGCGCGGGTTCGAGTCCCGCCCCGTGACGCGCCGCGCTTTGTGAAACCGCGGGGCCGAACTTCGGGCGAGTCGCGGGAGGGTAAATAAAGGTGTCTCGGAGACAAAGGGGCTCTTAAAGGGACGGCGCGGGGGCTCCTCGGGGGCTTGCGGGGCGGCGGGAGGCGCCCCGCGGGGTCCCTGAGGTGACGGGGTGGGCTCTGAGGTGATGGCGGACCCTGAGGGGATGGCGGGGCCGTGGGGGCTCTGAGGTGATGGGGGGGCACCCCACAGGGTCCCTGAGGTTCCAGAGGGATGGGAGGGTGGGGGGCAGCTCACAGGGCCCCTGAGGTGATGGGGGAAGGTCCAAGGGGGGCTGTGGGGGCTCTGAGGTTGATGCAGACCCTGAGGTGATTCGGGGGGGGCACCTCACAGGGTCCCTGAGGTGACAGGGGGACCCAGAGGTGGCTCTGAGGTGACAAAGATGCTGAGATGGGGCTCTGAGGTGATGTGGGGGAACCCCACAGGGTCCCTGAGGTGACGGGGACCTCAAAAGAGTAATCTGGTCCATCAATAAAGCAAAAAAGCCCCAGAGCAACATGAGGCAGCTGATCCCAGAATGGAGACCAACAGGCTTTGCTGAGACGTGAAGGACTAAATCCTCCTCATCCTCGCCCCCGTGGAAACCCACTGACATCAAGGGGGTAATTGGAAGCAGAATGCGGCAGAGACTCCTCCAAAAATACAGGTTTATTGGGGTGAAATAAAAGAAGACACTTTTATGTGGATATTAAAAAAAAAAAAGTAAAAAATTAAAAGCTCTGTTCCGTAGCTGTTTGCAGTCACAGAAGCTCTGCCCTTGTGTTTGGCTGGAATTTCTCCTTTTCCTGCAGTTTCCTGCTGATGGACACTGATTCCCTGCACGAAGCACTGCCCAAAGAACCACTGAACCAATCCACAGAACCATGGATCCAATCCCAGACACGCTCCAAACCATGGAGAACAACCAGAAACACACACAGCACTGGAAAACTCTGCTTTGAACCAGGGGAAGGAGAAGATGCAGAAGAAAAAAAACCATCCCGTGCCGCGTTTCGGAGGGACTCCCGATCCTGCCGGGCAGGCAGCAAGGAGGGTGCATCCAGAGGAGCTCCAGGGAATCCTCTCACCTGATCCCAGCCACGGGCACCTGCTGCTGCTTGCGGATCTTGTTGAAGAGCTCCATGTACTGCACCATGGTGTCCCCGGGGCTGTACACGCTGTCGTGCTTGGCCCCGAACACCGACGGGATCCCGGGCGTGTGGCTCCCCATGAAGCTCTGCATGAACTCCATGAGCAGGTTCCAGCAGTCGTTGGCGATCACACAGGGGCAGTATTCCACCTGGGAACACAGCCCACAGCCCTGGAGCTGGCGGGAGGGGCACTGCCCTGCTCCCTGCCTCGCTGCCGGGCGTGCTTTCCATGAAAACATCCCAGAGTGTTTAGCATGGAACACGGAGGGGTAACCCCATCCAACCTGGCCTTGCCCCAGGGATGGGGCAGCCAAAGCTTCTCTGGGCAACCCGTGCCAGGGCCTCCCCACCCTCCCAGCCAAGAATTCCTTCCCAATATCCCATCTAAGCCTGCCCTCTGTCAGTGTAAAGCCATTCCCCCTTGTCCTGCCCCTCCAGGACCTTGTAAAATAGTGTCTCTCCATCTTCCTTTTCAGCTCACTGGACGGCCACAATTCAGTCACCCCTAAACCTTCCTCCTCTGTCCTCCCTCATGGAATTTCCCTGCGTGTCCTTGTATTCCCCACCCTTCCCAGAGGCCCCTCACCTCCACGGATATGCCCCTGGCGCTGGGCCCCATGGTGACGGTGCCCAGTTTCACCAGGAAGTCGCAGTACTGGTAGCGGGTGCCGCGGCTCTCGATCTTGTTGGCCTTGGCGTTCTGGAAGAAGCCCTTGAGCTTCACCATGAGGGTGTCGAAGTTGGCGTCGGCCACGAGGCAGGGCCCGTTCTCGAAGAGGGCGAAGCAGCTCAGGGGGTACTCGGAGTTGTGCATCACGTACATCAGCTTCCCTGTCTGCCCTGGAATGACAGTGAGGGGATCCGGGCTGGGAAACCAGCACCCCCGTGCTTGTACCCGCCCGAAAGCAGCACCTGGTCCTCCTTGTGTCCCCCTTGGTGCTTTAACTCTGCATCCTCACACGGATGTTATGTTATCCAGCCATTCAGGGAATAGATGGGATTTCATTCTGAAGGTTTACTGGGAAAACTAAATGCTCTGGTGCCCCAGGACAACACCAGCACGATTCTGGAGTCTGGGGGGAATCAGCCAAGAGCACCCAGCACCCATCCCTGGCTGGGCACCCCCTGCCCATGGGCACAGAGGGAGCCTGGGCTCGGCCTCTCCTCCACGGAGATGTGCAAGTTCCAGCTGCAGAAAGAGTAGGCAAAAGCTGCTCTGGAAGCTCCAAACTGCTCTGTTCAGGAACGCTGGCTGAGCAGAGCCTGGGGCTGCATGGGCTCAAGGCCACTGAGCCACCTCTGACTGTCACAGCAGGGTCTGAAAAGGACGTGGGAGTCCAGGGGGAAGGAAGGAGAAGGGAAAAGGGGAGAGGAAGGAAAAGGAACAGTGGAATCACAGAATCGTCAAAGTTGGAGGAGACCTTCAAGATCTTCAAGTCCAACCACCAGCCCCACACTGCCACTGTAACCTCTAAACCATCGAACCGCATCACCCAGCGAACAGATCACCCAGTGACTGACGGCGCCTCTTAAACACCTCCAGGGAAGGCAGGGAAGGAGGAGGAAGGTAAGGAGTAAAGAGAAAGGACGAAAAGGAAGGGAAGGAGAAGGAAAAGGGAAAGACGAAAAGGGAAATGGGGGGAAAAAAGCAAAAGGGGGGGGGAAGGAGGTGAGAAGCCCGGCGGAGCCCCCCGGTGCCGGTGCTCACCCTGGGTGCCGATGGCCCCGGCCGTGTGGTAGGTCTCGCAGTCCACGCCGAAGGTGCCCTGCTTGTCCGCGCCCAGCGCCTCCAGCCGCCGCGCCAGCAGCTCCACCGTCTGCTGCACGCTCTTGCCCTCGGCCACCGGCACCTGCGACACGCTGGGGGACACGGGATGGGGGGTCACGGGCGCTGCCCTCCCACCGCCGGGAGCCCCTCACCGGTGCCGATCCCACCTCCACTGGGAGCCCCCCGGGGCTGCCCCGTCCCTCCCGGAGCCCCCCCGCCCTCACCAGGTGACCCCCATGGTCCCGGTGCCGCCGGCGGAACGGGCGGGGCGAACAGGCACCGGGAAGGGGCCACCCCGGAACGGGCGGGGCGAGCACCCACGTGTCTGTTCCCCTTTCCCGGTCCCGGTCTCGGTTTCCCTTCCCCGACCCCCGCAATGCCCAAGGCCCGGCGGGCGCGGGGCTCCGGCCCTGTCCCCCCGGCGCTGCCCTTGGCCGAGCAGATCCTGCAGGACGCGGCCCCGCGGGCCCGGGCGCGGGGGAAGCGCGGCGGGGCCGGGCGGGAGGAGGAGGAGAAGGAGGATGGTGGCGGGGACGGGTTCGTGGACGCGCGGCTGTCCCGGCGCATCCTGGAGCAGGCGCGGCGGCAGCAGGAGGAGCTGGAGGCCGAGCACGGCCCCGGGGCGCCCGCAGCCCCCCGGCAGCGCAGCGCGGCCTTGGGTGAGACCCCCGAGCCCCCCCCGGGACACCCTCCCCGGCATCCCCGAGGGTGCGCGGCCCCGGCTCAGCCCCCGGCGGTCCCCGCAGGTCCCGGCTCGGACTCGGAGGACGATGAGGAATGGCCCTCGCTGGAGAAGGCGGCGGCGGCGGCGGGACGGGGCGGGGAGTACGGCGGGGAGGTGGAGGTGGACCCCGAGGACGAGAAGGCCATCGAGATGTTCATGAACAAGAACCCGCCGCTGAGGTGAGGAACCGCCAGGAAAGGCGCTGCACCGGGGCAGGGGCTGCTTCCCTGCACGGCCCCCAACTCACTCGTGCCCCATGGCAGCCCCCAACTCACGCCCTGTCAGCCCCCAATTCACCTTGTCCCCTGTCAGCCACCCCCGGCCCCCTGCTCACCCCATCCCCTGTCAGTCCCACAGAGCCCCCGACTCACCCTCTGTCCCTTGTCAGACCCCAACTCATCCCCATCTTGTGACAGTCCCCGACTCACCCTCGTCCCATATCAGTCCCGCATGACCCCCGACTTGCCCCCTGCCCCTTGTCAGTCCCCGACTCACCCCATCCCCTGTCAGCTCCTCCTGGCCCCCCGCTCACCCCATCCCGTGCCCAGGCGCACCCTGGCTGACATCATCATGGAGAAGCTCACGGAGAAGAAGACGGAGGTGGAGACGGTGCTGTCGGAGGTCTCGGGCTGCCCCATGCCCCAGCTGGATCCCCGTGTCCTGGAGGTCTACAGAGGGGTCAGGGAGGTGAGGCCGGAGCAGCTGAACCTTCAGCCACCCCCCTGAGGTGCTGAGGGAGGGGACAGCCCTGCTGGCAGTGCCCACAGCCATGGCCTGTATCCGTGTCTTTGAAGGTGCTGTCCAAATACAGGAGTGGGAAGCTCCCCAAGGCATTTAAAATCATTCCTGCCTTGTCCAACTGGGAGCAGATCCTCTACATCACCGAGCCAGAGGCGTGGACAGCCGCTGCCATGTACCAGGCCACCAGGTAAGGTCAGGTCACCTCAGGGAGCCTCTGACATGAGCCCCTGACTCATTTTGCTTTTCCTTTCCATAGTTGGAATCAGATTTACAGAACACCACCCTTTCCCTGTTTGGCCCCTTTTCCCCACCCCTCCCTCCGTGCTTTGGTGTTCCCAGGATATTTTCATCCAACCTGAAGGAGAGGATGGCCCAGAGGTTCTACAACCTGGTGCTGCTGCCGCGGGTCCGGGACGACATCGCCGAGTACAAGCGGCTCAACTTCCACCTGTACATGGCTCTGAAGAAGGCCCTGTTCAAGCCAGCAGCCTGGTTCAAGGGTAGGGGCTCCTGCAGGGGCTGATCTGGGGCTTGTCTGGGTGCCTGGTGGGGTTTTTGCCTGACTCTCCCCTCCGCAGGGATCCTCCTGCCCCTGTGTGAGTCGGGCACGTGCACGCTGCGGGAGGCCGTCATCATCGGCAGCATCCTCACCAAGTGCTCCATCCCCGTCCTGCACTCCAGGTGAGGGGCTGGGGGGGGTGCGTGGGGCAAAGCTTCTCCTTCGGGCACCCTGGGAAGCACCTTGGATCTATCCCTCAGCCTCTCCAGCCCCTTGGAAGTGGTGGGGGGTCACTCAGCTCCCTCGAGGGTTGAGAGTCAAGGCTCAGCTTTGCGTCCGGGTGCCTGGTGCCCCGTGGCTCCAGCCCAGCCCCCCGACCCTCTCCTTGGTCCCTGTGGCTCCTGCCTGGCCCCACTCCCCCCCCATGCTCCCTCCTCCATCCCCGTGGCTCCAGCCCCTCTGACCCCTGTGCTCCCTCCTTGCTCCCTGCGGCTCCTTCCTGGCCCCCTCCTCTGTCCCTGTGGTTCCAGCCCCCCTGACCCCTCTCCCTGTGCCCGCAGTGCAGCCATGCTGAAGCTGGCAGAGATGCAGTACAGCGGTGCCAACAGCATCTTCCTGCGCCTGCTCATCGACAAGAAGTACGCGCTGCCCTTCCGCGTGGTCGACGCCCTCGTGTTCCACTTCCTGGCCTTCCGCACGGACCAGCGGGTGCTGCCCGTGCTGTGGCACCAGAGCTTCCTGGCCTTCGCCCAGCGCTACAAGGAGGACCTGTCCTCGGAGCAGAAGGAGGCCCTGCTGGAGCTGCTCAAGTTCCACAGCCACCCTCAGATCTCGCCCGAGATCCGCAGGGAGCTCATGAACTCCAAGACGCGGGACGTGGAGGGGCAGGAGCCCGTGGCCATGGAGTGAGCAGGGCCAGGGAAAAGCTGCGGCCTGACCTGCTCCCGGGATGCTGCTGGATGCAGGAACATCCGTCCTGGATCCTCCTGCTCCGAGCGGTCACTGGGAATGGACTGTGCCCATGGGGCTGGACTGAGCTCCCTGTGCTGCTTGTCACAGCACGAGGCAGCCCCTGTCCCACCCAGGGTCCTGGTGCCACCAGCACTGACAGAGTTGGGCTTGTTCCTGGACTGGAAAATAAAACCAGAGCCATGCTGGTCAGTCAGGGCTGGTTCTGCCCTGCAGCCACATCCCTGCGTGTCCTGGACTGTCCCTGCCCCGCCTGACCTGTCCCTGTCCCCACCAGCCTCTGGAATGCTGGCCCCCTCCCTGCCCCAGGGACTTCCCCCCCACACTCACAGGGTTTATTTACCTCCTCCTGGCGAGGCTGGTGAAGCCATGGGGCCACTGCCCTCACCTGCCCATGGAGGCCTCATGCCCAGCCTGCTCGTGGCATCTGCCCATGTGCCACCTTCGCTGGAAAACCCAGGGGGGACCTTCCCCTGTGTCCCACAGGCTGCACTTACCTGGGAACCTCTCAGTGAGGCTGGGGGTGCCCTGCCTGCCCTCTCCCTGTTCCATCCTGGGAAACACAAGGCTGGAGCCTCCCCGAGGGATCCCTCAGGTGATGGGGGGCCCAGCCCAGTGCCATCGAGGGACAGAGATCTGAGCTCTGCCCTGGGAATCACACTCGAGCCTCTCAGTCTTCTTTAAAATACTTTATTGCAACATCACAGGGTTCTCTGGCTCTCCCAGCAGCGGAGTGAACACCAAACCAGTTTACTCTTAAATTAAAAATTCATTTATATATAAAAAACATTTCCTTTTGCACAGCCAGGCTCTGTCCCAGCCCTCCTGCTGGCAGGAGGCAGCGGCTCCGGGGCCCTTCTGGACAAGGCAGGCTCGGGGAGGAGCAGCAGCCCCACCTTTTTCTGCCTGATTTTTGTATCTAGTGGCATCCAAAAGGGAAGATTTCTACCTCCTTTTCCACATCTCCCACGGGAGGACAACAGCCATGGAGCCACATGTCCAGAGGTCCCCAGGCAGCAGCGTCTGCCTCATCCCTGCGGAGTCTCTGGCTTCTCCTGGTTAATACAATTCCACTCTGTAATGGTTCTCTCATAGAAAAGCAGCATTATTTTTTTAAAAAACACTTTTTATAAAAAACTAACAGGATCATCAACAACAACAATACAAAAAACGCAGTAATTGCTTTTCCAACTCAAGTGCGCAGCAAGTTTTCCACCCTCTCAGGGTACAGCTCGGATCCACATGGATACACAGCCCCCCCTCCTGAGTGTGATCCGAGATCCCTGCCCTGGGAAGGTGGAGATGCATCCCAGACTATAGCAGCACATTCAAAGGTATTCCTTAAATCCTAGTCTGATGCCTAAGCTACCAAAGGACCAACCAGCTTCCAAGTGAGAGTCTCCCATTGCCCAGGGAGCCAGGGAAGGGATGAAGGGGGAAGGCACTTTTTTGGGAGGAGAGCAGAGCAGCATCCAGGCCCCACAGCAAGGAATGCCATGTCTCCTCCCTCCCTATTTCCCAGCAGTTAATAAATTAAGCAGCCTCCGTGGGCCAGCGAAATCCGAGGGGACAGCACCCAAACCTGCCCCCTCCCAAGGCCAGGACCCTCCTGCCGTCCACACAGACAGGGAGCACGTCCCCAAAAAATCCCAAACCCAACAGCAATAACAAACAAGCCCCACAGTTCCCCTCCAAGCAGAAGCAGCCACACAACTCCCCCCGGAGCTGCAGGAATCTGGCACGAAGCAACGGGGACCGAGGGGCCACCGAGCAGCTGCTCCCTCCTGAAGGGAACCCTGTGGGTCCAGAGCCCCCCTGCCCAGGGGGGACATTGAGGAGGACATGCAGGTCCCTCCCACGGCCCTGCAGCCCCGGCCGGGGGAGGAGTTGGGGGCTGTGAGGGGTTTGGTCCCACAGGGCAGGTCGGGGCTCGCCGTCCATGATTTGTGGCCCACGCGGGGCTGGAAGTCACCGTAAACACCCCCGAGAGCCAGGGAAACACCAACAGAGAAACAACTCCAACTTCTTCTGGGGGTCCTGCTCCCCTCCCCAGCATTCTGGCGCCCCGACACCACAAATCCAGTCGCTTCACCCCAAGCCACCCACGGCAGTGGGCAGGAGGGATCCCAGGCGGGCACAGGCCGGGCGGGTGGGATGTGGTGAGCTGGGGGTGCCCGGGGCGAGGGGCGGCTCTCGGGGCCGGGGGCTGGTCACAGGTTGACGTCGGTGACATCCGTGGGGGTGCCCGTGGGTTGGCTGCCCTCGTACGCCGCCGCCTTGGCGCTGAACTCCTGCTGGCACTGCGACGCCTGCTTCAGGCTCTCGGCTAAGGCTGCCTCGATCTGCTCCTGGCAGGCCTTCAGGCAGTCCTGGGGAGAGAGGGAGAGAGAGACAAGAGGC